CTCTCGCAGCATAATGTACAACTCAATAGAGTCGTACCCAGAATACTCGTGACTGGAAAACATATTCTGAAGATCCTCGTCATCTTGAACCTCAACCTTATAAAATATTATTTGGTTGTTACCAAAAAAACCAGATTCTGATAGAATATTTGTCACGGGGCCTCGTCCAAGTTTGGCCTCCAATCGTTTTTTGAAGTACAAGAAATTGGCTTTCTTGTTTAAACAAAATCAGATGTTCTCTGTGTCTCTAAATAAAAACCCAGAGGTGGGACAAATGTATGTCTCACCGTTGAAATGTGCACTGATCACATATTGGGGTGAATAGGCCATTGTGTATGATTGTTTGAAGGTTTAAAGGTTGGAAGGTTTGAAGTTTATGAGTTATTTGCTGGAATTTTCGAATGTTCTAGTGTTTGAGAGATTAAGTGTATCAATGTTTTGATAAATGTAAGACTAAATAGGTCATACTGAATTTGAATTAACCAAGGATGTCCAATAGTGTTACATGCATTCAGAGATGCCTTCTCCAAGGCTGCCACCTAGCCTGCGCCTACACTGCACCTACATTGTAACCTCTAAGGCGCCTCCCATCACGTCTAATAGTGTTACATGCATTCAAAGATGCCTTCTCCAAGGTTGTCACCTAGCATGCGCCTACTCTGTAACCCATGCCACCTCTTATTCGCCAACGGGGATGTCGACACCTTTCATTTTTGTACTCTTTCGCCAAGTCCAATAGCGCCTCCCATCACGTCCAATAGTGTTACATGCATTCAGAGATGCCTTCTCCAAGGCTGTCACCTAGCCCGCGCCTACTCTGCAACCCATGTCACCTCTTATTCGCCAACGGGGATGGCGACACCTTTCATTTTTGTACTCTTTCGCCAAGTCCAATGGCGCCTCCCATCACGTCCAATAGTGTTACATGTATTCAGAGATGCCTTCTCCAAGGCTATCACCTAGCTTGCGCCTACACTGCAACCCATGCCACCTCTTATTCGCCAACGGGGATGGCGACACCTTTCATTTTTGTACTCTTTTGCCAAGTCCAATGACGCCTCTCTTCATGTCCAATCGTGTTATATGCATGCCAGAGATGCCTTCTCCAAGGTTGCCATGTAGCCTGCACCTACACTGCAAAAGTGACACTTATTATGCATGCATGCACCCACCTACCACCTCACTTACTCTATGAAATTGTTTTGCCTATAAATACAGAGCATTACATACTTCTCTCGCATCCATAATCGTCTCACTCTCTGCTACAAACTCTTTCATAATCTCTTACAATTTCAAACTCTAAGCACCTAAGCACCTAGGCGCCAAGTGAGATGGCGTCTCCCCTTAAAAAGTAGGTGGAGGCGCCAAGTGAGATGGTTCCTCCCTTGGAGAGTCTTCTGAAACATAGTTATTTGCGTAATTTTTTTCGAAACATGGTTATTTGCGAAATATTTTTTTAATACTTGGTTATTCCAAAAAAAAATTCAAAAATATACATCATTTTAACAGAAAAGACTAAAACTACATGCATAATAATTTTGTAGGGACTAAAACATGTCATATTTTTTTATAGAGACCAAAAATAAAATTTATTAATTTATAAGGACCAAAAATATAGTTAACACTTAATTTTAATTAACTCATCTATTTAATTGAATTAATTTCTAATCAATTATTTTAATAATTTTGATTAATGCATTTTGGTGGCCATTTAATACGTGTGATATTAAGGTTTAATTGCATCACGGGTCTTTTAATTTATTTTATTGTAATAAGTTTGTTCTTTAAGTTTTTTTTTTTTGTAGTAACATGGTCTTTAAGTTACCAAATTAAAAATTATTAATAAATATAATAATGATAATATATAAAACATTTAAATTGTTATCACATTTAATGAAATATTAACAAAACATTATTATATATTTATAACAATCGTGACAACGTCAACTTTTTGTTTATTGTAATGCAATTTATTAATATAACAATTCTAAAAAATAAAAATTCATAATTTCAACACTAAATTTTGAAATTAAAAATATATAAAATAAATAAATGAATTTATTAAATATATCAGATATAGACTAATATAACTGTATATAGTGATGAATGAATGATACGTAGTTGTGATACTATTTAAATATTGATATTTTGAAATAGAAATTTGGGATGAAATAAATTTCATAGATTTTGAGACGGATTTGAAATTAATTATATAATTGTTAGTTTATTTTATTATATTTTCAAAATGTTATTTAAAATTTATTATGATGATATATTAGGACAGGTTTGAAATTATAAAGACCTTTAAAATAGATTTGAGAGAAAATAGATAATTGTTAATTATCGTGATACATTGAAAAGGCTTTGAAATTACTTTTAATTTGAAAATTTATTCCAAATTTATTGTGATTTATTTTAATTATAGAATCTTTTAAGATAAATTTTAGAAAAAAAATACATAATTGTTAATTTTTAAATTTTTTTTTTTGCAGTTTTCTCTCAAATTCGTATAAAATACTAAGATAAATTTTAGACACATTCTCATTTTATATATAGACTTTGAAATGAATGTTACATATAATGCAAAAAAATTATTTATCTTACAATTTTTTTTTTATATTTCATCTCAAATGTGTAAAATATTAAAGCGAATTTAAAACAAAGTTATACAATTATTATTTATTTTACTTATTTATATAAAAAATCATGTAACATGAATATCAATAACACATTAAATAATTAAGAAAGTTGATAATAATTAAGAAAATTGATAATAATTAAGAAAATTGATAATAATTAAGAATATCTTTAACATAATTAAGAATAATTAAGAATGATGAAAATAGTTACTTTTGATACTAGGAGTGAAGTTGTTATAGATATAAAATTTGATAGTTCAGTGTGAATCTAGTGTATTATAACGTGGGCCGGCCTAGCACGCTTTGGTCCAGTGCGTCAAAATGTTTAAATGGATTGATTTGACCCAATTGTTTAATGGGCTACATAAAATGAGTTCTACCCATTTTTCAAAAGTCCGTGTAGTTTAATGGGGCAGCCAGACCCTTATTTTAATATTATGGTTTTAATTTTATAAAAATGGTTGTAATAAATAAAAGCTACATAACATAAGTAGAGAGTCATCATAAACTTAATTAAGTGATGTTTAAAATATTCATCAAATCAATATATATATATATATATATATATATATATATATATATATATATATATATATATATATATATATATATATATATATATATATATATATATATATATATATATATATATATATATATATATATATATATATATATATATCACAAAAACATTTATGTAAAAGTACAAAGTAAGTTAATATTACTAATACTTATCAAATTTTCCCTTCATCGCACAATCATTTCCTTGATCATATCATCTTGAAAATATATATTCATCCTCGTTAACTTTTCTTTATCACTTGAAAACACACTTATGCAATCATATCTTATCCCAATCTTTTTTTCCCCGAAATTACTAAAATCTTTTTTAATGGGTCAGTCTGTTTAGCTTGACCCGACCCGACCGACCCATAAAACTCATAGGCCCGACGGGCTGAGCCAAAAAGATAGAGTCGTGTTTTTAAGGTATTTTGCAGTCCGACCTGCACTAAATTATTGAACTTATGGGCTGACCCGATGGGTCGGACCCATTTTAACAGCTCTAATAACAACTCGTTAGGACTAATAGCATATTCAAATATTAAATAATAATTCTCATTAACTACTTGTGTAAACTTAATGAACTATATTTCTCAGCTTGTATTATCAAATATCACTTTTTATGAAATTTACTTTTAGAAAAACAATGGGGTGGTCGTGGCCTTCCTTAGCCACCCGTAGCTCCACCACTGCAAGCGTGTGAATTGTTACCCTTTTATAACATAGTGAAGACATTAGTTGTGGATGCAACTATTTTAAATGATATGAAATTGATGAAGACAACCAAAATTGATCATATAAGCTTCTATTTTCTACTTTGTGCCAAACAAGAATTGATTCATAGTACTACTAATTAGCATTGTGTATGAATGTCAACGTTTTGCAAATTAAATTTTTGAACTTTCTCTTTAAATAAAGATCCAAACCTTTTTCCACTTTTGGCTGAATATTAATTTGTGGTTGCAAATTCATGTGAGTTTTAGTTTTAGTTTCAGCAAAATGACAAATATGTGTGTGAATGATAAAAAGGCTTTTCTTTTCATAACCTACGTGTATAAAGGGTAGCTTTCACATCATTTCTTGAACACATACGGGATTTTTGTAATTTTAGTGAAGTGAGAATCTTTGTATATAGCAAGTGTGTTAATACTTGTTCATGGAATTGGAGGAAAAGAAAAAGAAGAGAACACTTCCAAGAATATATATTAGACATCCACATGACAACTAATAGTTTTTGAAAGCCAACACACACATATTACTCGATCCTAATAGCTTAACCAAACAAGTTTATAAAAAATTACCTAACATCAACATTTATTTCTAGCCATTATATTTCTTAAAACATATTCATTTACCTTGAAAACAAAGGCTTACAAATACCATACACAATCTAGATCCATATACTAAGTTGCAGGGAAAAGCTATGAATCGAAGTGTAGATTTTTTGGAGTGAGGTTTTGTGCGGAGAAAGAGTAAATGGAAATTAAAAAAGGGTTACAATGCACTATTGGTTTTGGCGCTTCACGAAAAGAAAACGTTGCAAACGACGCGTCTCATGAAAATACAATTCTAAGGAAATTAATGGACTTGATTTTATATTTTTTTACTAAAAATTAATTAGCAACATGTGTAACATCTTTTCTTTTTTTTTTTGCTTACATGTTGTGTAACTTCTATTTTTTTGCTTACATGTTGTGTAACATCTTTTTTTTGCTTACATGTTTTGTACATCTTTTGCAAAGACATAATAGGATTATCAGTCAAAAGTAGCAAGTGGAGATGACGAAGAAATGATCCACGATGAAGAAGAAGAACTCGAAGCAATCGAAGCAAGCCACTCAACCGAAGCAATCAAGTGAAGCTAGTCAATCGAAGCAATCGATTCAATCAGAGTAACATGAAGATGGTGCTGAGGGTTCTCAAGCTCAAAAGGTTCATTTTTTCAGTTCATGATTCGTTTTCACAAAATATTGTTGAATGTTAGGTTTTCATTATTGTCCATAATAATTTCAGAATATGCAAGTCTTCAATGTTGTATTCCACCATGGAGGGGTATTTGTAAGGTTGAATGATGGGGTTACGATTTACAGGGAAGGTGTATCGATTTTAGTTTTCTAGGCTCCACATTGATAAATAGACAATAGTTAGCATTCATAGGTTAGTGACTGGGTTGGGTTACATGCAAGGGACATATAGAATATGGACTAAGATTCTTGAAATAGATGATAACTTTTTTTAGATTAGGAGGGATGATGACTGTTACGATTTCGCTGCATACGCTTGTACGAACCAATTAGAAGGGGAAATGTTTGTGGAGTATGATGTCACTGATATTGAAGTCTTAATAAGGAGTCCTAGGTGTGTGAATGAGATTGTTGAGATGGATGGATGTGATGAAGAGGGAGTGGAAGAGTTGGGTGATAGTGAGGATGAATGAACCATTGTTATTCAAGATGGCTTTGAAGGTATTGATGTCACTCTACCTATTAATGAAGCACCTTCAATTACTAGGTTTTTAAGTGGATCCAAAAAGAAGAAATGGGAAGATGATGAATATGTGAGTGATAATAAGCTAGACAACTCATATCCGAATATTTCTGATGATAAAGCACCAAAGTTTGAAAAGTTTAGGAGAGAGAATTTGAATAAGAATTTTAAATTTCAGCGGGGTATGCAATTCAATTCCCTAAATGACTTTAGAGAGGCAATACGTGAGTGGTTAATATTAAATGGTAGGGGAATTACTTTTGTGAAAAATGAGAGCTACATGGTAAGGGTTGAATGCAGAGCCCAATGTGATTTTTTAATGATGTGCTCTAAAGTGGGTCATAAGCATACTTATGCTATAAAAACTATATTTGACAACCATACGTGTGCCAGGGTTTTGAATAACAAATTTGTAAACTCAAGGTGGGTGGCTAAGGCTGTAGTGAAGAAGATGTAAACATTCGAGACTATTAGGATCTGTGATATCATTCAAGACATGAGACAAAATTATTTTGTGGAAATCACTGTAGGTAGGACATGGAAGGCAAAGCTCATAACAAAGAAGATATATTAACTCAACAAGAGCAATGTGATTTACAACATCAAACATCATAGTACATTACTGAAACATAAATGAAACTTCCTAATACATTGCTGAAACTTAAACTAACACATTACACTTCCTATTATATATACTTGTACAATACTGCAAACATAAACCAAGACATCCAAATTGCCATTTTTAATTGGGAAATTTTCCTCTTCATAACAAATATCTTCAACTTGGCTTTTTCTAGCTTATTTGCTGTCATTTCAAACTTCACCATTGCCACATCACATTTTTTACAATAAGTTTCAGACTTTGAGAATTCATTCATGGAGTGAGCAACTTCATCATCCCACATAAACATGTCATAACTATTCCCCATATGCATACACAAACAACATTAATGACATGACAAATCTATGTATTTCACAAAAATCATGGATTCAAGCACTCACCCTTGCGTTCCGACATTTCCAAAACTCGATATTACAGTTTTTTACAATATTCGCCACTCACATCTTCATCGGACGATGACAACCGCACTCGGGAACAATTGAAACCTCAAACGAATTGATGCTTTCAACACTATTACTTACAACCATTTGACTGTTTTAGGGTTTCAAGAATCTAACACGAAAGAACGAGCGATAGAAGAAGAAGTATCAGATGGAAGAAATAATTTTAGGGAAAAACGGGAATGGGCGAATGGAAGAAGAAGAAACACATGGAGCCATAACAATTAAAGGCCCAACATGGCAATACTGAACACAATCAACAAAAAAATTGTGGCGACATAGGACAAATAGAGAGAATCTTAGTAAAAAATCTGCATCAAAATTTTTCTAGATGAAATTCAAAAATATAGAGAGAGATAAATCAAAACACGTTAATATAGCCGAATGTATAATAAATTTAAACCAATAATATTATAGATGAATACAAATAATATACAAAATACTTATTGCAATTTGGAATACTATTTGCAGCTAAAACGTTTCTTCTTTTAGATTTGACCCGGTACCACCAACCCGACCCGCGCTTCAAATAGCCGTTTGACCAAACCCGAACCAGCCATTAACCAACACAAAAATAAAATAAAATCTCACTCATCCAAAAACCTCACGAAAACCACCGAACCGCGCCGTCGTTCTGAAAGCCGTCACCGGAAAACTCTTTCATCACTCAAGAGGTATTCTTTTCGACGCTATTTTCGATTATTGTTTAACCATCATTGCATTGCGTTTTTTTATTTTCTGTTCTTGTTCACATAATATTTTGCGAATAGAATGAGTCTTCCAAATGCAACGGAGGACTTGTCGTCTGAAATGGAGGTTGATGCGTTTCGACGCCTTTTTCCGCTTCGGTATTTCGAGCGGCATCTTGCTGAATCTATTCGTCCTGATGGTAGACCCCTTAAAGAAGCTAGAGAAACAAGTATATTTCTTGGTTAGTTGCTTTTACACTCATTTCTATTCTAATCTGCAAAACATTGGTTATTTAGGTTTGCATTTCGATAAACACCTTAATTAAGTGCTTATCAAACAATTCATAACTTATTTTTAATATGTTATTCACAATTGGAGTATATTGATGTGGTTGTTTCACTTTATGGTTAGGTGCTGTTGCATCAGCTAATGGGTCAGCTCTTGTGAAGATTGGATCCACGGTTAGTTAATTGTTTCGATTTTGCACTTGCATTTGAGTAAGAGAGTTTATTATTGAATTAGAATGAATTTAACTGATTTCATTATGTTTTCTTTGCTCAGACTATGTTGACTGCTATTAAAATGGAAGTTATGACTCCTTCCTTGGAGTCACCGGACGAGGGTTGTTTAGGTTTGCAGCCATTATCATCTTTGCCACTTGTGTTGATTATTTAGTCGTGATGACATATAGGGTGAAGTTTTGATGTGTTGATATCTATTATTTCAGCTATTGACTTCCACATGCCTTCGATTTGTTCTCCGATTGTTAGGCCTGGCAGGCCTGCTGAAGCAGAGCCGGTTTTGTCAAAGCAGTTGTCTGACACCATTTCAAGGCAAGTTTTAATCTTTCATGTTGCTTAGTAACTATTTTGGATCATGTGAGAAGCTAATTCTAGCAGAATCACTCTATGAACCTTGTCTTTTCCACAACAAAGGGGGAGGTGGAAGGTAAATAGGAAAATAAAGCAGAGTTTTAGGTTTAGGTTTTTAGATGGTAAGGAAAAATTTGTGAATATATATTAATTTGTCTATTATAAAAACTATACCAAAATGACTCCACTAACCTTGTTGTGAGTGAACTTTTCACTGATAGTCTGTTGTGTTTAGCTTGGTTTATGATTTGGACAATTTGTGTTCCCCCACAGCTTTCAAGAACTTTGTATTTGTGTTGTTCTATGTTATACTTTTTGGTGATCAGTAGTATCAATAGCTCATTTGATCAGTTAAATTTGGTTACAGTCGAGTTTAAACTATCTTATTTCTATGACCTTTATTGTATTTTATTTTTTTCAGTTCTGGAATGATTGATTTGAAAGAATTGTCCTTGGTTGGTGGAAAAGCTGCATGGATGGCTTACTTGGTAAGGTTTTATATGTGCTGCATTTATCAAATTTCAGTTATCAACCATAGAAACAATGTATTGTATGGTGTGAGGTACTTTATCTTTATTCCCTTTGAATGTTTAGTTCTCAATTATTGAATGAAAAAATACAGGATATCTATTGTTTGGATGCTGATGGGGCTCTTTTTGATGCTGCTTTACTCTCCGCAGTTGCTTCCTTATCTCATTGTAAGTAGTGTGTCTTCAGTGTTACTATATGCAGTCATATTGTGAATCGTTCAGAAGATAAAATATTCTTGCATATAAAGCACTGTTAAAGAAAATCTGCCCACTTATGGATTGTTTATTTACATGACATATAAAGAAATTTAAGGCAATCCGGACGAATACATTTCAGTTGGTAGAACTCAGTAGTAATATGAGAGTAATTAATGGCCACTTCCTAGCATTGCTTTCCTGAATTGAGCTAAATAATTGAATGAGTTGAATACACTGCGTGAAATTTGTATAGTTTTTATTTTATTAAAAGGTGTAATTACTTTCTTCACGGTATGCTGAATCTTTATTACAGTGTCAAGAAGTGATATGAAGTGTAAGCCGAAAAAGTTAGAATCTAGAGAGAGAAAGGGAGGGTGGGGGAGATAGACAATTTATGTGAAGTTTGTTTGGTATTCTGATAGGTCTGTTATTGTTATCCAGTTGGTTCTATCACGTTCTGATATTGGCTTGAATTATTCAGCCTCAGATGAATCACTTATAGTGCAGCAAAGAAATGTCTTCATAATATACTGAATACTTTTAGTTTTAGAAAGTGAAAACAACCTCAAGAAAATAATAGTAAGAATCCTGATAAAAAAGGGAAGAAAGAATTTTTGAGAAGTGTATTTGGTTGGTATTATGATATATTGGCTTGATTGGATTGGATTCAGCTCCAGATGATACATTTATAGTGATACAGTGAGCTTTTTTAACAGTCACAGTTGTAACAAATTGTACTAGCTGTCACTGTGACAGCAATGCCGGCTCAGAACAACCACTTGCTAATTCAAGTGTATAATACTGTAGTATATTACAGAAGCTACTGTAATTTTTCTCTCTCAAACATGAGTAGAGTAGCCCTGGGTCCAGAACCCTGAGCTTAGTGCGAAGATTGCAGAAACATGCGGAAGATAGGGACTGATGCAGGGGTCAGCTACCTGATCCTAAGCAAGAATACAAGCAAGGCTTTCGCTTAGCACATTTCTCAAACAGAGAATAAATCCTTGTCCACGCGCTTTGTTTTGAGGGTGAAGAACAAGGTTTATGATTTTATGGTAATGACTCATTATTTAAAATATCACACTCACCACAACAATGGAGTAGAAATCCCTTTAGCCTCTGAGTCTACATGATTTCAGCAACTGTAGCCAGGTTATGATATCCGGTCTCAGTATTGTATCTAGCAACCAAAAGACCAGATTTGGGCCTAAAATATGCACAAGCCAAAGATGGAGGGCTCGTCATCTGGATCACCTACCCTAGTCCACGTCGCGAAAAAGGCAAACATGGAGAGTGATTTATGATGGTTGATCGGTTGGAAAAGCAAGTCATGAGTGATAAGGGTCCTTTAGTGAATGAAGGTTTTGCTTAACAACCTGGCGGTGATCTCTGGTATATTAAAAGAAGAACTGACAAGCTTTATTTATGTTAATTTGTCTGCTGCCTGGTGAGAATCGTGTGGTGCAAAGTTCCAACACTGGACATGTTGTACAAGTGGGCTCAGACATAATTAGCTCCATGCTTGATGGTCATGAATCTGTTCACCATAGGGGTGGAAATCCCCTTAGCTTCAGCTACATACATTGGCTTTCACTATAAGATCACAATTGTATTTAGTCTATTAAAGAACGATGGAGTCATTGGGAACATGTTTGACCTCGTAAAGGATTTAGTAATTCTGAAAACCGTACCTTTGAGAAATAAACAATGACAGTTTACATTTGGATAAAAACCCAAATCCTAGAAGAATGCATTTGAGTCTTTCAAACCAGCTCCGTGTTGCCTGGTTGGGGATCATAAGGAGATTTGTTAAGCCTGCAAACCAGAAATTTGTCAGCAGCATCAAAGCAAGGTCAGCACAACCATGTACAGGTCGTGGAATCCACTGAAAAATGAATTATTGACATCCAATTGCTTAATGGGCCATTTGTGGGTGAGGGCAAGAGTGATAAAGAAGAGTACCGAGAAAAGTCAATGGTGATTAGGGCTCGAGAAAAGGAATTTCTGGCAGGACTGCCACCTAGTCATGGTGTCTCAAAAGCAAATTGGGAGAGAGAATGTCTGTCTGCAAAGAGTATTTGATATTCTGATGTTTTGGGTTAATTGATTCAGTCTCAGGTGATACATTTATAGTGCCAGAGAGATCTTTGACAGTTACTAGTTAACTAACGCACTAACCGTTAATCATTGTTACAACAATGCTAAAGGACTACCTAATTCAGGAGAATGAGTTACATAACAGAGTAGAGCACATGCTTTAATATATCAGTATAGTATAGATATTCTTATAATCTGATTACATGTTTCTTTCTATAATGTATTACCAATTCATGATCCAGCTTCTTATTAGTTGTACCTTTGTATGAACGAAACCAATGCTGCATTGGAAATTAAATTATGTTTATCAAATTATCACCAACTTGTATGATTTCATGTCAAAGAGAGTTTTATGTATTGCCATCGATTTCCTTAATGTGAATTGTTCTTTTAACATTCATGCCGTGGTATTAGCATATTGGTTTTGACTTGTGTACATTTCCATGTTGCCAGTGCAAATTCCTGCTGTTGCGATGAATGATGATGGCAAAATAGTACTGATGTCTGAGGAAGATGGACAGAAGCAGACAACGGAGCAAGTCAATAAGGAGAAGAGGAAGCTCACATTAAAAAGCATTCCATTATCGCTAACATGCATACTTCACAAGAACTACATCTTGGCTGATCCTACTGCAGAAGAAGAATCCATAATTGAAACCCATGTGACAATTGTTTTGGATACATCTGGTCAACTAATATCTCTTTACAAGCCTGGTGGGCCAGTTCTTGCCTTTACTTCTGCTATTCAGGTAAGGGTTTAAAATGTGAAGAATCAAAATATGATCCACAACTTTTGAATCTTTTACTCACCTACTTGTACATAAATAAGTTTATGTTTTTTTACCGGATTCATAAATTGATTCTAATTACTATTGTTGTGGTTTCAGGATTGTGTTGCATTGACCCGGCAAAGAGTAAAGGAGCTAAAGAGCTTCTTAGACCAAGCAAATTCTGCTATGGAGGTTGAGTAGAATATAAAGTAATATTAACAGTTTTGAATGGTTACTGAAATTGTATTTGTACATTCTAAATTAAGATACTGCAGGGGCATTGCCTTTTTCTTTGAAATGTCATTTTCATGAAAATAGAAAATTGGTACGATCTACAAGTATAATTTATTGCCGTTACAACTTTGGTTCAGATATTTGGTCAGTAATTTTCTAATATTTAGTTAAATCCGTAGCCCAAGTCATTCCATTATACTAGATGAAATGCTTGTCTACTTCCTACCTCTCTGGCTGAGGAGTTTGAAAGTTTCTTTAACTCTGGTTTAAGAGAGTTTGATTGGTAAGATTAAGAAGAGGTTTTAGTTTTTGAACTCATATTAACAAACAGTTATGTTTGGCAATTGTCATTTAGCTTTTATTTTGTAGCTTTTCTTATTAGTTTATGGTTTTTTCTCAAAAGTTATTTGAAAGAGTTTTTGAGTTTGTAACTTTTAATTTGTTACTTCTTCTGCTTATACCCTTATTATTTTAACAAAAGTCTATTTTTACCCTTCGATGATTATCACTTCAAATTGCTTATGTTGAGCGGTGTGTTAATTCAGATCTAGATAGATTAGGGAATATCTTATCTTTTGTGTCATCATCAGTGTCCAATTCACTATTAGAGGTTGTAGAAATCCGTGCTACATTAGCTTCACCGTATTCTTTTTTTGAAGTCATCCCATGTTTCACGAGACCATTTTATCTACATTCTTTGGAGTTATCATCTTTGGGTTTCTCCTTTTGAAATTTTGGACAATCACTCTTGATTGTGTCTAGGGTTGATGCTCTTTGATATCTGGCGATATACTCACTGAACAAGCTTTAAAATTTGAGTTCACAGCTAACAATAACTAGGCAGGGTACGAGACTCTCATCGCCAGAATGATCCTCACCTTAGATATGTGAGCCTCCAGATTAAAGACCAAAATTGATTCCTAATTGGCTGGAAACAAAGTCTCAGAGCTGCACCAAATTAGAGAGCTTCAGATGATAAGGCATCTACAAAAGGTACAAAATATATCTTCTTACTCCTCCTCCTTTTAAATATACTACGTCCCCTATGAACAAAGTCTTATGGCAGACCTTCTGTCTAAACTTGTCACATCAAAAACAACGGAGTTCAACAAAATAGTTATTCAGGAGACCCTCGCCTCTACCAACATAGAGGTAGACGAGGTATACTCCATGGAGGTGATATAAGAATTTAGCTACATGTCGCCCATATTGTGCTATCTATAGACTAGAGAACTACCATTAGACGAGGGAGATGCAAGAAGGATCCAAAAACAAGATGTTAAGTACATCTTGATATTTAGAAAGTTATATAAAATGGGAGAGCTTCTCCCATGTTATGATACCTAGGCGAGAACGGAACCGCCCAGGTTCTCATAGAGGTGCACAAGGGCGCCTACAGCAACCACATAGGCGGAAAGGATCTCACCCAAAAACTGTTAAGGCGGGGTATTATTGGCCTACCCTAATAAAGGATAACATTGCCTTTGTCACAAAGTGTGATTAATGCTAGAGACATGCTGACCTTCATCACACCCCAATAAAGCTTCTTCAGTGGATGACTTCGCTCTGGCCTTTCTTTCAATGGGGTGTGGATATTTTGGGCCCTTTTTTCTTTAGCATCAGATCAACTAAAATTTCTAATAGTGGGAGTTGACTACTTCACCAAATGGATTAAAGCGGAAGCAGTAGCCAAAATTATGGCAAAAAGAGTGCACTGTTTCTATTGGCAGAAAATTATGTGCATATATGGGCTCCTAGGGGCTATTGTTTCTGACAACGAGACTCAATTCGCCAACACTATGGTCACCGACTTCTGTAAAGACTTGAGCGTACAAACAAAATTCTTATCTGTCATACACCCTTAAGCCAACAGTCAAGCTAAGTCAATGAACAACGTAATTCTCAAAGGACTAAAAAAGAAGCTTGACGATGCCAAGGGCTTATGGGCGAAACTGCTCCCCGAGATACTATTATCGTACCACACCACTTAACAATCCACCACCAAGGAAACCCCGTTTTCCATGGTCTATGTAGCAGATACCATGCTGCATGTGGAGATTGAAACGCCTTTGTGGCGACGATCTTAATACACAACATAACTGATTGACGAAGTAACGGAAGCCGTCAGCGTCCAAGAGTTTGCCACCAAACGTGGGGTCGCGAGAAATTATAACTCCAAAGTTAAACCGAGACAGATGCAGAAGGACAACCTGGTCTTGAAAGAAGTAGTTCTACATGCACAACAGGGAAAAATACAACCTTAATGGGAAGAAGCATACCACATATACCATAAGCTCCCACACGAAGCATACAAGTTTCAGGAACTCGAAGGGCCACTTTTTATCATAACTTGGAATGTTCTTCATCTTACGTACTATAATAGCTATAACTATTTGTAAATTTCTATTAAACATGACATCTATGTAATTCTGAATAATTATTAAGTGACTTATTCCCCAAAATGAATGCTCTTTCCCGAAAATGTCATATGTTAGATTTTATAGCAAAGAAAGATCTCATTATTGGACATCATAGAAAAGATCATTGTCATCCCTCAGGAAAATGTCTCATTGTTGGACTTCATAGCGAAGATCCTTGCCGCCCATCATGGTAACATCTCATTGGTGAACTTCATAGTGAATATCTTTGTCGCCCCTTAGGCAACATCTCATTGTTGGATTTCATAACGAAGATCCTTCTCACCCCTCAGGGAAAAATCTCATCGCTGGACTTCATAGCGAAGATCTTTTCTGTCCATCAGGGCAATACAAGTAAGCTGTATGGCTTCTCGCCTGAGGGACTTAGTGTCTCTTCAGGCAGGTCAAAACTCAATGGTCAAACCTAAAGAGGTGGGAAAAATATCCATCTTGATATACTTGATAACGAGTCTTGTCTAAAATATCGATGGAAGTACTACCCAAGGGTCTATCCAGGTCGAGAAACTTGATAACGAGTCTTGCCCGAGGGTTTAATAGAAATCCATCTCAAGTGGGTCAAACGCCTTTCCTCAAGGACTGGTAGTCTCATAAGCCGAGCTATATACAATTATGACTAGGGACTTAGATTCCTCATGATAACTATACTCTTGCCTGAGGGGTTTAGTGTCTCCTCGGGTAAGGCAAAACTCAAGGGTCACGCCTAAAGAGGTGCGACAAATATCCAACCCGAGAAACTTGATAACGAGTCTTACCTAAGGCCTAGGTGGAAGTCTCGCACAAATGGGTCAAACGCCTCGCCTAAGGGACGAGTAGTCTCATCAGTCGGGCTATACAATTTTTCCTAAGGGACCTAAACTCCCCAAGATAATTATACTTTCGCCTGAGGGACTTAGTGTCTCTTCATCCGAACCTCCCAGGGTAGCTAAAGACCTCAAGGGGGAAGCCACTAATTCTCTGGATACTTCCATCAGTCGTGAGTGAAAAACACCTCATCTTCTACTGAAGTCCTTGTGCCTGAAGGACTGTGTAGTGTTATATTTGCAAAAAGCTTGGCCTATAATGATGCCCTTAGACCTCCCTATAAGAGGTGATGATAGAAGGTCGCTCGAAGGGAGGTATCTCCTTGCCCTGTAGTCTTCCCTCGCCCCTATGTGGGAAACATGGGATAAGACGTCTCTCATGCAAAGAGAAAGTCAAGGTCATTAACTGAACCACGACTCCCCTGAAAATAAGGATTCAACTCTTCACTATTGACTAAGTGGGCGATGACCCTTTTCAAGAAAACCCTAGGTCCTAGATACATGTATAAGCACATCTTCTCTCAAGGACAATAGACAGACCCCAAGTAATATACATTCTTAACACCCAAAAGAGCACGATGCTCAAGACCATCTTAACACATGACCTCCACTGAGTGTACGCTTGCTACCATGCATCACCGATCATTAGCAGAGCCTCTCACCTCATGCGAGCAAGTCTCCTAAATCACTTCAAAGCACCACCGTAAAAGGCTTCTCACCGTCGTAGAAAAACCCTCACTACTCAATTATGTTATAAACCTACTAAGACCTCTAAGTCTCCCTATCTTTACAGGAGGAACATGAACACATGTACTTTTTGACAAATACAATTAATAACGAATATTAAGACAAACTAGTCTTAGATTTTCTTGCCTTACACTAGAGGAATTTATAGCCTCACAATTGTAGGGACTTGTTTTCTCACACTATTTACTTGTTAACCTTAAACATTTAAGAACTTTTTTCCTATCACCATAGGACTTGGGGAATACACCAAAATTTGTTCCAGTTATCCAAAAATACACATAATTTTGTTCCGGTTATTCAAAAATAGTACATCAAGTTTGTCTCCTTCAAAATTTGAATTCATCCTTTATATAGACTTTAGATATTTAATTTTCTAATCATTTCCCTGTTGTGAGTAAGGTAATTGGAATTGTACTATTTATACGAAACCTTATCCTTTCATTTCTTGTATTGATGTAATTGTTATACTGTGACCGTTGAGAGAGCATTCTTTGTGGTGACACAACATAGAAGGTCTCCTATCATCTGGGTACATGTGTTCACTTGTGTTGAGTATAGATTATCATTTAAGTCAGGGTAGAAATGATTATTTTTCCCTTAAGGTATAGATGGTCAATCTTGTTAGAACACGATTTGGTTCTTCAATTTTATCTGAATTTTGATGATAACAAAGAGAATGTTTGTATGAATAATTTTGGCACTCTAATGTTTGTTATTTTGAGTATTTAACAATCAGGTTCTGCTCCTGATGAAAGGCGCAACCAAGATATTAGAAGAGAATAAGTTCCGCTTCTAGCTACGCAAGTTTTGATAAATAGTAGCAAAATGCTTCAGATGGCTCTAGAGTAGTGACTCTGATACAAGTCCAAGAAACCAAGTTCTGAAGATCTGAAGACAAAAGTTGTAACTGAAGTCCATATGCTGAAGACTTATGTTTCTGAAGACAAAGGGTTCTGAAGACTAAGTGCTGAAGATTTCGGTA